GGGACGGAGGGTTAATGGGTGGGGGGAGGGGGCGTGGGTAAAGTCCAATTTCTTTATGACGGTTTAAAGTCCTCTTGACCGCGAATGCACCACTGTATGGCTGCATGATATTCACGTACTCCCATCCCAAAAGTTGACCCTGGGCCGTGTAACTATAGTCACGATGACGCACATACTGAGTAGGGGTAGTTCCCCAAATAATAGAACTGAAGAAAATTCATCTCTGGGTTTTCGAGGGAGCATATACCAATTGAGAGCTGTGCAGCTTCAAGTATGGCTCGGGGCCTGCATCATCGAGGTTCCTCCACAGACTTCACGTCATCGTCTGAAGATGAAGGTAGCATATTACTTGTTATTACCTTGTTATTACTACTGAATGTTAGTAAAAAGATACTACAAAAGTCAGTTTGTTAGCAGATCCAATGACATCTTTACAAGATCCACATGATAGACTAAAACTATTATGAAATTATTTTAATTTAGTTAACTTTGTAGGAGTTGATCATCATACATGTTTTCAAGTATTTCTTTATGTTCAGTAAGTTGTTTAGTAAGTCGTTGGTCGGTGTGGCAATAGCTTATGTTTAATACGTGGAATAATCTACCGCTGCGAAAATAATTAGCTACCGTTTGCCTCTTCTTTGGACTTGTTCTAACATTTTATGCAACTCTTATTTCCTGTTATTGACTTTAATGCAGAAGAACTTTATCTGTAGATGTATAATCTCAGGATATATATGGCTTTTTGCTTCCTTTCTCAGTATTTATTTATCATTAACACATCAGTGGGCTCTATGTTCAAATATGGCAGAACTGATTTACATTTATGCCAGAACTTTGGATTGAGTGCAATGAAACAAGCATTTATGAATCAGCTGAGTAGTTTGTCTTGTCTTATCTTGTGTGCTATACTTGAAAGCAACTGTCGAGGGATAATCAACTTCATTTCCCTGCTCCCAAGACATAAAATACAACCTAGTTATATTGTTATTTTGACAGTTTCGACATGGCAGAAAAAAAGGGTTCTACTTTCAACGTTTATGCGTTAATAAGCTTTATATTTCTCTTTTGGGGCCTTAGGAAAATTTAAGGGATGCATATTTGAGATATAACACCCTGAGCGTTGGGAGAGATGATTTTGATCAGCACAAAAACTAACATTTTCGCTAATACCTCGAAGTAGAATTGCTCGAGGTTAGAAGAATTTTGTGAAACGTTTAAAGCACAAGAGACACGAATGGAACACTAAACGTTTTTTTAGCATGAATAAGAGATAAAGAAAAAAAAAATGCGAAAGTAGCAGCCTTGTCGTTTTTCTACTTTGTCGACAGTATTTAAATTGTAAATCAGGGAAATTTCCCGTTTGGCCTTGCCCAGGTTGTAAAGATCAACCACAACACAATTGAATGTCACTTTGACAGACAATTTAATATCACATGTACATTGACAGTTACTTCCTGCGAGTCTAAAAGACTGATGCGTTCAGTCCCCAGGCGGAATATGCACTCTGACCGCAATGCATTTATACTATGTATGAAATACGAGGCATTCGCAAAATGTTGTGTTGCAGAGCACATCTATCCTCTAGTTCAATCTCCGTACTTTAGATTTTCAAATCACATTGTCTTCACTGAAATATTTGTTTTAACCAACACTGACACCGATGACAAACGAGAAATATGACCCAAAGGTCAAGCTTTGCGTGGCTAGTCATAATAGAAAATTAAAATCAATTTTAGTTTGTATAAAATCATAAGACCACTAAGTACCCAGCACATTCTTTGAATGTAGCTCTTCGGTAGCTTTTTTCTTTAAAAATAAAAAAACTATTGTCTCTTGGGAGTTGGGAGTTGCGAGTTGCGAGTTGCGAGTTGCGAGTATCCTTTTTCCCCCAACATATCATACGATAATAAAATACATATATATACATATATACATAAAGCTTTTTACTGAACTCCTACTGAATTAAAAAGATTTTTTTTAAACGAAGGATCGGCATATGAAATTGGCATATACATGAATAAAGAAACTATGCAAAGAAATGTTGGAAAATCAGACAAAAGAAAGGCCAAGTTACACATTGAAACGTAGCCTCCTTCGCAGCCGTTCTTAGGGTCGTTGCGTGACGACCCTAAGAACGGCTGCGAAGGAGGCTAATTGAAACGCTTCTAAAAGCTAAATCCATTTAATTTGTTGATATTTTATGATTTGTTTATCGCGAGAGGTTTCCGTCATTTTTGTCGCGGGTCGGAAATTTGTCTTTTATTTAAGTAATGTTTTTTGGTAGAAAGATAGATAATTGTTAATTCACGCTAGGACATTTATGGTTTTATTGCAAACAAATTTCTATTCAAACCATAACACAAATATTTTGTTGAATGGTTAAACTTTTCCCACTATGAGGTACTAAAATAYTTGAATTGCTGAAAAATAAAGTAAATATCGTCCCATTAATGAAACTTCATCAAATGAAAACCGTGACCGAAGGTTCACTGTGAGATTGATAAACACAACGTCTACATGAAAACGCTCAATTCAGAAATATAACAAGAGTAATACACAATTGACATGGATACCCATGACCTATTACACTTTCAGATTGGTAATTTAAAATATCTTGTGCGTGTGGTAGGTTGATTCGTTGCGTGTCTGTAGTAGATCATAAAGCTTGTGACTTTTGTCATTTACGATTTGACGGAATAAATCATTTCATAAAAACTGTCTTCTCTCAAAAGACTATTGATAATAATAAGGATAATAATAATAATGATGATGACGATGATGATGATGATAATAATAATAATAACCTGAAACTAGGAATAAAGAACTTATATCCAGGATATAAAGTTAGACAAGTAACTGTAGTTTTTGACTTCTTAGCCGCTACGAAATTCTAAGTAAAGAACTGAACGTGTTATTTAGACAGCAAGTAGCTAGCCTAACCATAGAACGCTCTCAGAAATGTATTATTTCACAGAATTGTGAACTAATTGTTAAACGTTTTATGTGTTTGTAGTTCTAAGAGAGACTCATTTTAGTTTTGAAGAACTCAAAGTTGATCTTAGCTTCATGTACTATATACTCAATTGATAACTTTTAGTATATTTTATCTTTAATTTTTTTTCTGTTTTGTATCATACCCATTTTATAGATTATTGAAAATTCTTTTTTATTTTATTTTTTTATTTGTTACTTTTATAATTTACCTTTTCATCATTACTTTTATAATAATGTAAATACTATATAGTATACTTAGTCCACATTGCCTAGGCTAAGCCCGCAATGATGTTGATACATTTAGTGAGATTTTATCAATAAAGTTCCCCATAATAATAATAATAATAATAATAATAATAATGAAAACTTTATTTTGATGCTTTTGGTTAAACAACAATAAAAGTAAGAAATGATATGATATGAAGATACTAAAAATTCATTAAATCATCATCATCATAATAATAATAATTTTTTTTTTAATTGTTTATAAGAAAAGAAAAATTGTATTTGGTATCTATACATATACATACATATATACTTTATTATTTGGTACCTCAATTTGATATTTACAAGTCATAGATATATAAATTAACAAGAATTCAGGCACAAGCTACCTATGATAACCTAAAGGTTAGCCAAGATAGGCAGCTAGCATATTTACAATAATTATATAAAATTTGATTGTCGAGAGAGGTATATTAATTCTAATTACAATATAATTATATTCATATAAGAAAAAAATATTAAATATTTTACAAGAATTAAATAAATAAGCAGCAAAATAATCATAGAAAATATACAATAAATAAATAAACACTAATATTAATAGATCAGAAAAAAAAAATTAATGTAAGTATGTATTAAGAATCATCGATATCTATTATTTACATGAAATTGCATATATGATTTAGTCCTGAGCTTAAATATAAGAATCTAGCAATTTGCTACGTATTGATTTAATAAAATTATTTCTGGTAGTTCTTTTTAAATTTTCATCAACTGAATTCCAAATTTTTACTCCTATATACTTAATGTTAAATAAGCCATAGTTGGTCCTAGCTTTAGGAAGGGAATAGGAAGACTTTGCAGCTAATCTTGTATTACATGATAATTATGTCTCTGATTCACTGGTTGGAAGTAATGTTCAAAGGTACTAGGGAGATTTCCTGAGTAAGAATCAAACATAAATAAAGCTGTATGTAGATAGACTAGATCCTCCAATTTCAGGATATTTAACCTAAGAAAAAGTGGACTAGTGTGATCAATATAATGAGAAAAAGTCATAAGTCTGACTGCTTTTTTTTGAAGAATGAGCAGAGGAGTAAGAACAGATTTATAAGGCCCAAAATATAAGGCCATATATTAAGTAAGGATAAATTAGAGAATAATAGAGACTTGACTATAGAGATATATATATGACGTATAGATTATCTATAATAATAATAATTATTATAAAAGTAATGAATAGTAACTCTCTAATTATAGGGAAAAAATGTTTTTGGGGTGTTTTCATGTTTCATGCGTTCTATTTTTGGCTCATGATAGGTTGCACCAAGAGGAAAAAGAAGCGAATAAAGAATATAGTCAATATCCGTGGTAAAGAAAATCATGTGGCCGTTGGGAATGGTGCAAACGTATCAACAACAGCAGAATCAGCTGGTGTAACTCAGAATTCTTTTGATGGTTAGTAATAGTAGTGGTATTAATTGACATAATGCAAAGTAACCATACAAACTTTGAACACTACTTCAAGACTCTTTCATGCTATCATTAGAGTCGGTCCGTTCGGTTATGCTAGGTTCTAGTTCGCTACACTATCTTATAATAGTATCATAGATTACTAAGGTTGCCTAGATTACTAAGGCGCATATTAGATATAAAACACATCACACAGAAACAATACAATAGAAAACAATTATGTATAAAAACTGATCATTGATCTTGACCGCAGTAACTCTTATTTCTTTCTTTTACGTAGTTGTAGAAATATTGAAAAACCCCACCACACTTCTCGAGGCAGTGGCTAAATGTCGAGGCACCGAGAAGGATAAAATCGAGAAGAATATTTTGCAACATCTTCTACCAGAAATCGAGAACCATGCTATCAAGGCCGCAAGCAGTTGCAACGATGCTCTAGAGCTGCTTGCTAGGTTCTGTTCTCCAGAGCTGAAAAGTCCAAGACTTACCATTCATTCCCTAAGGATAATGAAGCGGTTGCTTGATCTAGAGTTTGGCAGCTGTGAGTCGGCAAACGCTCATATTATAGAGGTCGAAAGGATACTGCGTCGGTCCTTGGTCGACGGCAGCTTTGCAGAAAACCTTCAGCATATTCAAAGATGCCGTCTTGAAGTGTATAACAGTATTCTAGCTTTAATACTGCTGTACCTTGCTAAGGGTCACCTGAAACCTCCATACATTAACAAGACAGAGAAAGAAGAAATAAAACAGACTGTAACGAAAAACATCCAGAAAACTCTCCAAAGAAATCCGCGTCCCAAAAAAGATCGCTGGCGCTTCTCAATGGAAACAGTTTTAAACTTGATCGAGCGTTTGTTTGACTACAATAAATTGAGTCGCATGACCAAGCTGTTGGATTTGTGTAAAGATATCACGCTGGAAGCTTTCCTGAAGAAGCTGCAATGTGCAGAAAGTAGTTCAGTGGATTATTTTGTCATCCTGAAAATGCTCCATGGCAAGGTAAATACTGTACTCACGATGTATTGGTAAGCCAAAAAAGACGTATTGCTAAGCCAAAAGTCCTAAACTGCTTGTTATTACTAATCTGTACAGACTTTTACAAACTGAGTAAGAGCATCGACCCATCATTATCATCACACGGGACAAAAGCAAATCGATCTTCACGCGGAAAACACGAGACGCAATAAACCAATCAATTGACTCTATGATTTTTGTATCGTAAACAAGATTATTCCTATATGCTAAGTGTATGTTAAGTGTATGCTAACCCTAAGATTATTACTTCTTACCTACCTTATTGATCTTTTTGGAAAGACGAAGATTTAATGAAAAATTGATAATTATTTGCTGTTTTCCTTTTCTAGTTGTGTACCAGTAATGCCGATGCTTATCAAATTATTGAGATCATCATCAAGAATCACGATGTGTTCAGTAAG